GTGTTCATTATCAGTTAACATTGCCCATACTGCATTTGGTTACAGAGAAGTATCAATAACATGTGGACGCTATATTCCATGGTGAAGCTTGTCCTGCTTTCTACAGTTTCTTAATCATATAGACAGTTGGTGGGACCTCCTGGGTGGGGAATCAGTCCGCCACAAGGCCGCTACTTACACGGGGCAACACAAACACAGAATAAACGCAAACTTCCGTGCTTCGAGTGGGATTCGAGCCCAGGACCCCAGTGCTTGAGCAGGCGAAGACATATACAAAGAGATAGAGAGGACAGTTTCTGATTAAGCAAGTCGTGGAAGCATGTCACCATAAGAAGTCGCCCCAATAGGATTCTCTAGATGGGTTCTCCACTGGGCTACTCAGGTCCAGGGGCACTGCCATTGTCAAGGCACAGACTGTTCTATCCGGGTACCCATCAGCCCTGTGCCTTTCTTTCCTTCCGGCTTACCTCCGCTGTTCTTGTTCTTATCCCCTTTCCTGCAAGCCAAGTACTCTGTTATAGGACTTCTGTCCCGCACTTCTCTGACCTCTCTCCGTCATACACATTTAGGTCTCCTCTCCACCGTATTGCAAAGTCTGCGCAAGAGGTCCCTTTAGGTCCCAACCTAGTCACCCCTCTTTTGTCTCCTTCTGGTTCACTCCATTCCTCAGAGAGAGTCAATATGAGCTAACAATTGGCTTGCAAGTCACTGCATTTCTTATCTCATCCTATTTCTTTCCACACGCTGCTTGCTCTACATGTTGCCTTATTCATGTCGGTTTTATTCGGCTTATTGTTCGAACCTGAAGACAGGCGCGTTATATACCTCCGAAACGTCGGTTGACTTATATGAGACTACACATCGTTAACCACTAAAGATAGAAATGTTCATAGCCGCCGGTGTGAGATATTAAAAAAATTAAAGCTCTTCGTACTTTTGCCACTGAGACTAATTCAATAAACTCTTATAAAGCAATGTTATGAAACGCTGTACCCAGAAGCATAAGGACTTGGCACTTTTATCAGTAGTATACAACATGACAAACTAATACAGCCGAAAACTTGCTTTCTGGCAAAAAAATTGCCACGAAGTGAAAAGACAAAAACAACAAGAAATACGTCACTTCTCAAGAAACAAACAAACCTCGCCCTTCACCTAGGAATATAATTCAGTTTCATTTACAGATAGGCGATCTTCATCAGAAAATCTGACTATAATAATAATATTATTATTAATAATAATAATAAAAGTAAACATATAATAAAATGAAATATTTTTCATCGCAGCGTGCAAATTAATATCAGAAGAAAAAGTTTCAATGAAGATTAGAATTGTATCAAGAAAATGCTATTCAGTATTTTCGCCTCAGTTTTCGTACATACTGTAAGCAATAGAGTTTATACTTCACAATGATTTTTGATATTCTCTCTTCGGTCCGTTGTATGATACAAAATGCCTTTGGGAAGGCACGCTTTTAAGTACGACCTAAAGGATTAGATTGATATTGTCACCTGTCTCAGATTTTTTATATAGGCTTACACGACACTACACTAGTTGGCTTTAATAACATATTGTGGCGAGTTATTGTCATTAAGCCGTCAATTGTCTGTACTCTATTCTGGGATCTAACTCGGAAACTCCTAAACACTGGGGCGGTACACTGACTGCGACCTCAGAAATCTGTAAGTACACTTAAATGGCTAATGGCTCTCTTCTTCCGTATTCTTGTATATGTATCATCCATTGTCCTGCCTCTCTCTCCTCGAACGGGGAGGCTGAACACAGCTCTTTCACGCCGAGGAATTGAAGTCTTCCGGCTTGGCCCCGGAAATTGCCCAACGTGGTTTTCCTCACTCTTCATTAAAATCATATTCCAGAATCTTAATATATTCCACGACATTAATTTCCAAATTCTTCCCGGTAAATAAATGAACAGGTTTCCTGTAACTGATAAAGACCCTGAGAGTGACGAAGATTTACTCATCCAACCAACCTTCCACTCTCATTCCACGGTGCAGGACATCTGGTCATGACTGAGTTTCTTCAAATTACCGTAATCACCTTGAGATTTCTCACTCGACTTTATATCTTCAAGTTGATTAGCGGTAAATTTGTCCCTCTTATTAATTATAAGAGTACCATACCTTGAAAAGAGATGTAGGAGTGGAAGTATAGCTCCACTGTTCTTGATCTCGGCACTAGATGGAGGTGAGTGGTCAGCTTCAAGTCTCGGAAGCTTTATTCCGGGGGCTGGGTGGACGACAGAACTGGTCTGGACGCTGCAGAGAAGAAAGAATCTCAGCCTTGAAGGCAAAAGAGCCCAGCCCTCCGCCCAATAGCCTGTTCCTGTACCTGTCTCCTCAAGTTGTCATAGCGTTATGAAAAGAAAAAATATTTTACAAATGTAAGGTCATTAAGTCTCCGGATTCCTAACATCTTCGAAGAATTAAAACGGTCCTACACCTGTTTTAGAAACACGCAGCACGCATTCGTTGAGTGTGCTATTTAATTTAAGGTTTAGAAACCCTCACACAGCATATCTTCATGCAGAGGATACAATGCATGCATATTGTCGCTCTACTCTCGTTATACGGCCTGTGACTACCAACGAAATGGATTTGAGGTTATTTTCCGCAAACGAAGAGATAACTAAACCTCCCAGGCGACCCGTCGACAGACCGAAAGAAGTAAATGACCCGAAAGTAAGAGAATGTATTTCGGACCAGCTCCATTACCCCATTACTGATGTGTTTTACGAAGAACACACAGGAATTGTCACGCTTGTCAGTGCGGATAAAACCCACACGCATACTCGTTAAAAAATGGGTACCATAACTTCAACATGTTTTAAAAAATTGTCGCTCTAAGTACACTATATGAGGCACTAACTATACCCTCATAACAACATGAAGTCTCCTCCATGTTGTGTTATGGAGAGGAATGTTGCACACTTCCTCAGATTCGTCGTTATTGCGTCTGCGCCTGCATGTTCAATTGTGTGGAGAATGCGTGCAGGGCTTTGTAAAAGGATTATAGAGGTAAAAACGTTAAATGTACGCGCACTAGAGTCAACTGAAAAATACCATTACTGATATTTTCGGTGTGAAACTAGGAATGAGTTTCTACAGAAATTAAAAAATACGCTTTAAATTTATGACTGGATGCTCATTTCATTCTAGCAAATATAATAAATAGCTGTTGTGGTACTAACGTCATATTGCAGCCTTGACCATGCACTAAATCATGAGAGCGTATAGAAAGAGGGCCTCGCCACCCTGCGTATGTGATTGGTAAGCTTAACGCTCCGACCAGTATATCACCGGCATTGAATAGGAGTTCCCTACGAGAAAAATCAATAGAAGAAAGAGTTGCTTCATCTGCATTTCACAGCAGGTTGACAGACGAGAAAGGTAAACTTACGTTCGGAGAGTGATGAGTTCGAAACTCGGCCTTTACAACAGTTGCATTTTCTGAGAATCCTTGTAACTTTCCTTCCTCCCTTCATACAAAAATGGGAATACATTCATTAGGACACAACAGTCTCCTTCTAAGTTCTTTCCAACTTTTCAATCACCTAGCATTGAAAGCTATATACTCTAGCTACTGAGAGCAGCGTAACCATTTTTATATTTTAATGTTGCATGTTCTTATACAGTGCGTACAATCAAGTGCGCGCCGCGGCTGCAATTTGCCGTGAGTCATACCNTCCATTATAGACTGGGCCATAACAATTAATTAAACCGTCACACTAGGGGCCACGCCAACGCTCAAGCGGTTAGTCGCTGGCTTCCCACCGCGGCGGTCCGGGTTTGATCCCGAGTCTGGTCGAGTGGGATTTGTGGTGGACATAGTGGCGCTGGGGCAGGTTTTCTCCGAGTACTTCGGTTTCTCCAGCCAATCTTCATTCCACCAATTGCTCCACAATCACCCTCACCTATCATCTGGGACTGGTACAATAGGCCAGAAGTGGCCGCAGTACAAGGGACTTAGTCCCAACCCACTAGCAATAAAAAAGAATAACCGTCACACTATAAGTTTCCGTCTGGAGTCCATAATCTGGTATATATAAATAAACAAAGATAATATGTTATTGCAGATTTTTATGGTTAGACGGATCCATTTTTCCAAATATAATACACATTTTTATGGCTCTGTATAAATATAAGTTGTTGAAATTGTTGTAGTATATAGAAAATGTACATAAAATACATAAACATGGATCGTGCTAGTTCTATGCAAAGTTGTATTTGTTTCATGGGGGGGGAGGGGTGATATGTGGTAGCCGATTCGGTTTATGTGTCGTGTGTACATAATTTTGAAGCGAGAATAATACAATGTTTACATGTTGATAGCTTCTTATTCTCCTAGATGTTCCTGAAGCAGTGTATGTTTCGCAGACGTTATGCTGTGTTATGCTGAATCTTATCTTTCATGCGTTGCTCCTACCCGACAGTAATTGAAGTTTTTGAAATCTTGATGAGCGTATTATGTTTTAGGATATGGATGAAGTCAAGCCGTATTGCTTTATTGGATGTTGTGATTTGTACGTTGCTGCTGATGTTAGAGTTTTGGAGTTGCTGTAAATAGCTGCTGTGACCCACTGAGAGATGTGACTGGTCAGAATAGTAAGGAATGACTAGGAAGAACCATCAGAACCACTGTTCAAATGCACATGTACATATTCGTGGTTTAGAGCATAATTTTATAGTTGACTCAGACAAACTGTGCTGCTGATCTAGTCAGATTTCCATATGTAAAGGTTCGGCTACACAGAGCGCTACGTACGCGACGGACGTTACATATGCTATGTTCGCTGTACGAACAGAAAAATATCTCCCTTTATTGCCAATGTGGCTGGCCACACAGACGTCCGTACGCTACGTACGCTATGTTCCCTATGTTAGCTGCGTCGCAGAGGGTACACAGCGTACGTAGCGTACGTAGCGAATATAGCGTAGCGCTCTGTGTGGCCGAACCTTAAGAGCTGTCTTTTGTTACAGGTGTCGTGGATACGACGTAAGGACTATCACTTGCTGACAGTCGGTCTGACGACCTACACCGGGGACGAACGATACCAGGCGATCCACGCGCAACATTCAGAGGTAAAATCAACGATCAAGCCAAATCTAAGTTGCTCTGCATTTGTCTTTGTCGACGAATAAGATTTTATTAAATACAAGTGATTATTTCCTTGAAACAGGTCAAGACAATTTTATTCCGGAGCCTTTAATCTTCATAAACGTCTCTTCATTTCACTTGGCAAATAACTTTTATATTACTACAGCGCCATTAAATGTCCCCAAAGTCAATCATGTTGACATTCACAAAGGGGCTGAATATCAGTTTATAATATAAGATTGAAACAATATATGTTCCATATATTAATCTATTTGTCCTCATTTTACATGGGAAGACAGGCATATAGTAGTTACTATAGGATTCTGACGATGGTGTATAACACACTGATATGTTGGGTTTTTGGACTTTATCCAACGTCCTGGTTTTTAAGATAACAAATAAAAACACGACGTTTCGGAAACTGGATCTGCCTCAATCACCAGTGAGTGAGGCTAGCTCTTTCTAACAGACCCAACTGAATAGGTGTTTTCCTTCACCTGAGGACGGAAACAGATCCAGTTTCCGAAACGTCGTGTTTTTATTTGTTATCTTAAAAACCAGGACGATGGATAAAGTCCAAAAACCCAACATATCAGGCATATGGTGTTATGCCCAATGCCAGTTTACTAAATAATGTTTATAGGGACTGACATATTTCCAAAAATTTATTATGAAGCCAGAGCAATACACTTCAGCAGTTTCAAATCTCTTCCAATAAAATCATCAACATAGCGGCCATTCCGCCGTGCGAATGATTTAACGAATGAATGAATGCATGCATAAGGGATGGACCACAATAATACGGCCCGTGCCCTGCGACTTTAAATGACATATTATGTTTAAGAGGGAGCATTTGCAAAGTTGCTTAAACAAGAATTCCAGGGGTTTGTGTTTTAATAGAATTTCGAAGAAAAGCAACTCCTCTTAAGACAGTCTTATTCGATGTAAAGCAATAGCAATAAGATGGTCGCTGTAAGCCTGCGTTCAGCTTTCTGTTGATGGCTGAACCCAAAAGACACCAGAGCTGATATCTGACACGACAGAATTTATTCAGACTTGCAGATTCTGAATCAAAGAGATGATTACAGCCAAGGCGACGTTGCGAAACTTCGAAATTTTTCTAATAAATTTAAATTAGTTTGATACCTGTTCTCTGTAGAAAATAATACTAAATTTTGCAGTTATTATCATATGTTTCCTACTAGCCTCACCGCTTAGCTTAATGTATTTGATGGAAAAGTAGATGTCGTGAATTCTGCTGAGACCCTCTTTTTCCTGACAATATAATCGTAACAGATGTAAACACACATCATCGAAGAGCCGTGTCACATGACCTCAGGCACCAGGTGGTGACCTGTACTAAACTCATGATTCTGCAGAGGGTGAGAAACTGTGAGGCTTGTCTTCCTTGTGTGATTGAGATTCCGGGTCCCACTTGCAGTCCCCGCACCCTGACCTGGCTTGTTACAATTCCTGAATTCTGGATTGGAGCCGATCAAGTACAACTCAGATGTGATCGTAAGCTTCTTATATTCATTATCGTAATATTATATGAATCAAAGACATAATTTCAAGTGCGGAAGTTATGTAGTGAGTTGATGGTACGGCTATCATCTCATTCGTCCAGAATGACTGAAGAATAGAATTGTCAGTAGATATGACTGCCCCACATTAGCCTGGAGAGATTACAGATTAAAATTGTGAGTAGATAAGACTGCTCCCATATTAGCCTGGAGAGAATGAAAAATGAAATGGCTAGTGGATATGGCTGCCCAAACATTAGCGTGGTAAGTATGAAAAACTTGATCGTGAGTTGATGTGACAACTTCCGCAAGTAACTTTGCAGAGAGAGAAATGCTAACTACTTCCGCCACAGGAATAGTTCAAGTCGAGTAATCGCGAATGGGAGTCCATAAGCTTACTATTAAACCGACCCTGTCAGTCCTCATATTCGGATTTTATTTTATTGTACACAACTCAAAGCGCTGATAATTTACTGGTAAAATTAATCCACGTGAGCTTTAAATGTTGATGTCCGATCGTTCAGGGCAGAAGATTGTGATACTGACCAGTATCTGGTGGTGGCTAAAGTTAGGCAACGACTGGCAGTGAGTAAACAAACAACGCATACATCTTATACGGAAAGGCTCAATCCAAAGGTTTTAAAAGGAGGTACAGGGTAAGAAGCAGTTATCGTATCATGTTGAAATCTCAAATATGTTTGTATCTTTCGAAGACTTGAGAGACTGAGGTCGATGCTAATGAAGCTTGGGTGTCTATTATACAAAATACCAGCATTTCAGCAAAAAGAAGTGTCTACGTTATTATGAATTAAATCAACATAAGCCTCGGTTCGACGAAGGTTGCTCAGAAATATTAGCTCAAAGACACTAGCCAAATTGTAGTGGTTATAGGATCCAAGTGAAATAAATGGGGATAATCTGAACAATATAAGACGCGAAGCCAGGAGGCATTTCAGAAACAGAGAAGGAATATGTGAAAGACAAAATTAATTAGTTTCTTAGGGACAGCAAGAATAAGAATATTAGAGCCCAGTATAGAGGAATAAATTAATTTAAGAGGCGTTACCATCCTAGAAGTAACCTAGTAAAAAATGAGAATGGTGATTTGCTTGCACTCGATGAGGATCAGATGGGCTGAGCATGTAGCGCGAACGGGGGAAGAGGAAATTGTATAGGATATTGACGGCAAAGGCAGAATGAAATATACCACTAGGAAGACCAAGACGTAGGTGAGTGGACAATAATAAATGAATCTTGAAGTGATAGGATGCGATGGTACTGATTGGATCTATCTGGCTCAGACTGGGGAATAGTGGAGGAATTTTGTGAACACAGTGATGAACTTTCGGGTTCCATAAAATGTTGGGAAGTTCTTGAGTACCTGATCAATTGGCGGGTTCTCAAGAAGGGCTCAGTTCAAATAGTGAGTGAGTGAGTGAGTGAGTGAGTGAGTGAGTGAGTGAGTGAGTGAGTGAGTGAGTGAGTGAGTGAGATTGAAGGTATCGATCATTTACCACTTACTATTTCCTCATAAATTCCAGTACTTTCCTGATGTTTTCGACAGTTTGCGATATGTTTATTCCCACAAAATTGTTTACAAATGCCTAAATATTATATTATTAAGGAGAGAGGTAATTGTTGATGTATGTACGCAAGAAATGAACCCTCTAAATAGTAGAAACAAAAGAGACCCTGCTCTCACAAGACAGGGACAGAAGGCGTATGCTTACATTAAGCTCTCTGACCGGCTTCGGTGTCATGCGAAATCCAGGACGCCTCTTCATAAGAACAGCGAATATTTTGTTCTACATCCAGTGCTTGAGAGCCTTAGTTACTATGTTTTTTCTTTTTGCTAGTGGGGTGGGACTAAGTCCCTTGTACTGCTGCCACTTCTGGCCTATTGTACCAGCCCCAGATGATAGGTGAGGGTGATTGTGGAGCAATTGGTGGAATGAAGATTAGCAAAGGAAACCGAAGTACTCAGAGAAAACCTGCCCCAGTGCCACTTTGTCCACCACAAATCCCACTTGACCAGCCCCGAGATCGAACCAGGGCCGCCGCTGTGGGAAGCCAGCGACTAACCGCTTGAGCTATGGCGCGGCCTAGTTACTATGTTAGTAATTATACAATATACCCATCTTGCTTTGTTATTTAATACGTATTAAATTATTAAGAGTATAATTTAGTTATCTATTGAATTTCCTTGAATTAGAATTTAAAACTATTTTGAAATAGCAAAGATATGTAATTATATGCATATTCATAGATTTAATTCCATATTATACCCACAAATTGGGGTTTTAGTGGATTAGAATAAGAATGAGAAAATCAAATTTTGTGGAAGTGTATTTTGGTTCAACATTATACTTCCAAAAATGTTATCAGCGAAAACTGTGTGGGTTAAAACGGTAGAGCGCAGACTCATATTGAATTCCATCTTGGGAGCCATATTATCGGTTACCGGGCGCCGTCGTGCTGAGTTTTACAAGTGTCATAGCGGTGTATGTGGATAGAAGATTTCCGCGTTCTCTTCTTCGGAGCAGTGTGCAGTCTGGTGTTCAAAGATTGCGACAGTGACACGATCGTTGAAAAATACAGTTTCTTTATATTTTTATTTGTTTCTATTTTTTTTATGATTCTTTGCTTCTGTTTCCTCCTACATTTTAATTCTGCACTTATTCCTTTTTAATTATTGGCATTTACCTTAATTTAACGGAGTATTATCACGTGCATAGCCTTATTATTTATATACAAAAGATGATAGAAAATTATGGTGAATTATACGGACAAGGAAGAAGAGCCATAACAAACTTTACGTACCTGTACTACTTGCCAGAAAGGATGATGTGAATCAAGAAAATATTCAGTTAGTCTTGCTGGATTCAAGGCTGACCCACAAAATCAGAAACTATTTAATACACAACAATCACAGCAAGCATGACATGGCAATATCGGTTTATTTCTTGATCATTTCTTTGGCTAAACATCCCTTTGGAACCATAGCCTTCCTTAGAATATTCTGCAAGACTGCATCTGGTTTTCACTTCTTCAGATTTCGTGAATACTTTTTTTTTACAGAACAAGGTCTTCAGCCTTGTGTCCAACGCCGAAACAGACAGGGTGGCCCAGTTATACTCCCGAGTACTGGGTATCCGTTTCTGTTGCCTTCTAAGGCTTGCAGGGCTACAGTGGAGATATCCTAACCCACCTTCAATATAAATAAACTACATGGTCCACATTTGTTTCTTCATTTATAAAACAATACTTTTGCTGACGGATAAATAAATATTTATCACAATATATAATCTCTCAAGTTTACTAAACGACAGCTCTAACCAATGTTTAAAGACGCATAATAGCAATGACGACGTTTATAATTCAGAAATATTATTAGTATTTTTGTTGTTCTCAGAGAGACAGAGAGATGTTAATACTTTTCAGTGGAAAAGATTATGTTATTA